CTGCTGCTGCTGCTGCTGCACTGCTGCTGCGGCAGCAGCAGCAGCAGCAGCAGCAGCAGCAGCAGCCGGTCCCCCAGACCTCGCACAGCTCCCGGACCGCCGCGAATCCGGCTCTTTCTCCGCCGCGCTCCCCCACCGCCCCCGCTGCTGCTGCTGCTGCTGCTGCTGCTGCAGGAGTTCGAGGTGGCGCGTTCGGAGACCTTTCGCTGCGAAAGGTACATCTTGCGGGAATTAGGGTTTATGGTTTCGCAAACCCTCGTGCACCCCCACCGCTACATTCTGCAGTACATCCACGCCCTCTGCAAGGGCGACTACATCCCCACCAACAGACTCTCCCAGATCGCCTGGGGGTACCTCAACGACAGGTCCGCTGCTGCTGCTGCTGCTGCTGCTGCTGCTGCTGCTGCTGCTGCTGCTGCTGCTGCTGCTGTTGCTGGGGTGGTGGGGGGTGGGGCTGCTGATGAGGGCGAGGCTGCTGCTGCACCTGCTGCACCTGCTGCTGCTGCTGGCGCGTTGCTGCTGCTGCTGCTGCACCTGCTGCTGCTGCTGCTGCTGCTGCTGCTGCTGCTGCTTGCGGCCGCACTGCTTCGAAGTTCGCGTTCGTTGGCTCACTCGTGAGTTCCCGTTGCTGCTGCTTCTGCGCCGCTGCGCCTTCTCCCCCTCTGCCGCCGCCGCTGCTGCTGCTGCTGCTGCTGCTGCTGCTGCTGCTGCTGCAGCATGCGGACGACGCTGTGCTGCGAAGTGCAGCCGGCAGTGGTGGCTGTGGGCAGCATCTTCCTGGCCGCCTGCGACTTGGCCATCCCGCTGGCGAAGGAGACGGGCTGGTATGAACTCTTCGACGTGAGTTGGAAAGATGTGGTGAAGGTCTGCACTCGGATTTTGTCTTTGTACAAAAGAGAGCCTCCGCGGTACGCGCGGCTGGCGGAGACCCGCAGCAGCAGCAGCAGCAGCAGCAGCAGCAGCAGCAGCAGCGGCGCGGCGGCGGCGGGCGAGGAGGAGGTCGGGAAGGAGAGAAACGGCAGAAAGGGAGAGGAGGAGGAGCAGCAGCAGCAGCAGCAGCAGCAGCTAGCGGAGGAGGAGGAGGAGGAGGAAGATGCAGCAGCTGCTGCGGGGGAAGCTAGCGATGCTGCTGCTGCTGCTGCTGACGCGGAGGCGGCTGCTGCTGCTGCGGGTGCTGCAGCAGCACAACCTGCTGCTGCTGCTGCTGCTGAGGACGACATGCAAGTCGACTCCGGCGAACACGACGGCAGCTTCCGCAAAAAGGAAAAAGAAAAAGAAAAAGAAAAAGAAAAAGAAAAAGAAAAAAGCAAAAGTTCGCAAGAAGAGGAAAGAGCAACAAGGCCGAGGCGGCCGCAGCTGGAAGGTGGGTTGGAATCGAAGAGAAACTCGAAAACAAATGCAATTAAACAAAATTAAACAATTAAAATAAAATAAAACAAAAGTCTGCGATTTAAATGGTCTTTGAACGAAAAAAATCCAACAAAAAGAACTGAAAAGACTTTTGCACGAACTTGAACTCCAGCCGCGCGCTGAGGTGTACAGACACCTCAGCTCTCAGGTGTACGCGCAGCTGCTGGCTGCGACTTTACTTTTTTGCTTTCAGCTGCCGACGGCTCTCGTGCTGCTGCAGCAGATGCTGCTGCAGCACAAGCTGCTGCAGCACATGCTGCTGCAGCAGACCGCCGCGGGCAGCAGCAGCAAAAGGAGCAGCAGTCGCGCACCACGCAGCAGATTGCTGCTGCTGCTGCAGCAGAGCTGCGCCGCCGATCAGCAGCAGCAAAAAGAGAAAGGGGAAGAGAAAGAGAAAGAGAAGGAAGACAAGACTACAGGGAACACAGAAGCAAACCCTCCGACTCCTACCGCAGTCAGCTGCTGCTGCGCTGCTGCTGCTGCTGCTGCTGCTGCTGCTGCTGCTGCTGCTGCTGCAGTTTCTTGGGGAGGCAAATGACGCACTGTTCTGCTGCTTTTCTTTGGCATTATATTTTACATAAATGGATATTTCGCTTCTTGATGTCCTTGCCTGGAGACTGAATAATTAAATAAAAAATATTTATTTATTTATTTATTTATTTATTTATTTATTTATTATTTATTATTTGTTTGCTGCAGGCAGCCAAAGAGACTCCCGGGAGGACTACAGCAGCCCCCGGCGGTCTCTGCACCGCTCGGGCCTCAGCCCCTCCCGCTCTTCTTCTTCTTTGTCTTCTTCTTTATCTTCTTCTTCTTCTTCTTTGTCTTCTTCTTTATCTTCTTCTTTATCTTCTTCTTTATCTTCTTCTTTATCTTCTTCTTCTTCTTTTCCAACAAAATGGGAAAGATTTATTTCCCACAGAGACCGGCTCGACGCGGGCCGGGGGCCCTCTTTCAGGGAGCGCCGGAGGTACCCCGAAGACTCTCCTTTGGGGCCCCCGGGGGGCCCCCCGGGGGCCCCCGGGGCCTTGGGGGCCCCCGGGGGGCCCCTCGGGGGGCCCCTCGGGGGGCCCCTCGGGGGCCCCCCGGGGGGCCCCTCTCCGAGGAGGGGAGAGGCTGGAGAGGCGGAGGGGAGAGAAAGAAGAATAAATGCAAAAAGACAAACTCGAGAAGAGTCTCCGAGTCGCAGCGGCCAAAGGCCCAGCAAGTCTGCAGCGTTGAGCAACGGTAGACGCATGTGAAGAGCAACAAAAGAAAACAAAGAAAGAAATAAATAATTAATTAATTATTTATTTATTTAATTAATTCTGAAATTAAAATGCAGTGAAGTGCTGTGCAGGTTAGCGCAGGCCGGCGGCTGCTGGGCGTCGGCGGAAGCAGGCACCGCCGCGGCAGCCGCCGCAGCAGCAGCAGCAGCAGCAGCTGCAGCAGCAGCAGCTGCTGCTGCTGCTGCTGCTGCAGGGTCCAGACGATGGTGCGCTTTGATTTGCCGTCTGCTTGATGTGCCTCGTTTTCTTTTCGCTGAGTGGAAGAGGAGGGCGCAGAAAGGCTGATGGAGAGTCTTTTGGAGAAACGCGGCAGAGTGCTTTTGCCACTTTCAGCTTTCCGGACCTGTAAAACTTTGCAAAATGCGGCTAAGTGTTGTTTGGAATGCATGCAGCAGTTGCTGCAGTTCACAAACTCGCGTTTACTTCTTCTGGCGACGAGTCCGCGTAGAATAGCCAGAAAGCTGAACTGCAACTTGAATGCCCCGGGGTGTACGTACACCTCGCGCGCAGACCCGTAGGCTCCGCTCCGCTCGCTTTCCGGCAAGCGCGTTGGAAAGCTGAGGAAAGCGAAAAGTAAAAGTTATTTTCTGCACAAATTGAACTTTAATAATTCAAAAAGTGTTCTTTTGCCGGCTCGCAAGTGCCCTTTGGCCCCGCTTTCGCCCGCTTTCCCCGAGGCGATGGAGCCGCGGAGCCTCTCCGACGAAATTGAACTTTGCGGAAATCTGCGAAGTGCGATTGGAAAGGCACTTAAGGCGGACGCGGAGAAAGCTGCAAAGTATTTTTTTTATATTTATTCTTCAGTTTGCAGCTTTTGCTGCTCATTTCCCGCGCTTTCCGCCCGCAGAGTGCAGGCTGCTGCTGAGGAGGCCACGGCCGCTGAGCTCTTGGCCGAAAATGAGGCGCAGCAGCTGGAAGCGAATTTAGCTGCTGCTGAGCAGTGGCTGCTGCAGTGTACGAACAGCCTAGAGAAGATGGAAGTGACTGCGGCGCACTTAAAAGAGACCACTTCTTTTCTGGAAGAGCAGCTGCAGCGAAGTGAACAGCAAATCAGCGCGAGCGCAGCAGGTAGGAGCAGCACGAGAGCTGTCGGGGCTGCTGCAGCTGCAGCTGCTGCTGCTGCTGCTGCTGCTGCTGCTGCTGCAGCCCGAGTTCTGCTGCTGGCCTTCACTATTGTTCTCTTCTTTCTTTCCATTTCTCCTCTTTTCTAGAGTTTGAAGAACTGAGGAAAAGCCACTTGGCTTTCTGCACAGTGCAGGATGAGGCCCACCGGGAAATGTGCGTAGCAGCGAATTTTGTCTCAGTGAAATTTCGGTGAAGACTTTTTTTGTTGAATTGCATAAAATGAAGTTCCTGGGGCTCTTTTAATGCATTTAATTAATTAATTTAATCAATTTAATTAATTTAATTGTTTAATTATTTAATTGTTTAATTATTTAATTACTTAATTCATTTAATTGTTTAATTATTTAATATTTAATTCATTTAATTCATTCTTAGGACTTGTGTCGAGTCGCTGCTGCGCACAATCGTGGGCCAAGAGGAGACGGCGCGGCTGCGCAAAATGGAAAAGAGGAAAATGGAAATTGAAATTGAAGAATTAGAAAAGACAAAAGAGGCTTTAGAGCCCTCTTTGGAGGCTTTGCAGGAGGCTCTGGGTGAGTCCGTTGGACTTGTCTTTTATTTATTTATTTTTATTTTATTTAAACTTCTTTTTTATTTCAAAACTCTTTTTAAACTTCTTTTATTTCAAAACTCTTTTCCAGAAACTGCCAAGTCCGAATTCGAAGAAAGCAAACGCGAAGGCGCGCAGCAGCTCGCGGCCATCGAGAGCTGCACAAAGCAGCAGCAGCAACTCCGAACTGTACTTCATTTATTTATTTTATTTATTTATTTATTTATTTATTTATTTATTTATTATTTATTTATTTATTTATTTATTTATTTATTTATTTATTTATTTATTCAAACAATGCAGCATCTCGAGCGGCTCGCGGCGGAACGCGCGCAGCTTTCTGCGCAGCAAGTGTCGCTGCAGGTGTGTTCCTGCGCGTTTACATAGTTCAATTTATAGTTCATTTTAATTCATTTTAATTCATTTTAAATCATTTTAATTCATTTTAATTCATTTTAATTCATTTTAATTCATTTTAAATCATTTTAATTCATTTTAATTCATTTTAAATCGTTTAATTCATTTAATTTGGGTTTAATCGGCCATTCATTCCAGACAGAAGCCGCGCGAGCTCGGGAAACGGCTGAGGCGGAGCTGCAGGCAGCTGCGCAGCAGCAGGTAAAGAGTTGAACTTTTGGAAAGTTTTTTTTATTTTGTTTTTCGATTTAATGGATTTAATTGAACTTTGAATTAATTAAATTGGATTTAATGGATTTAATTGA